ATGAAGTTCATCTGGCGCTGCTTACGTGAATTAATTCACATCCATCCAAAGCTCTCAGACCCACCAAAAACCTCTTGTGTTATCTTATCCTTCAGCTTGCCACTTTCCTTATCCCAATAGTCCTTATTAAGTGTTTGGCTGCAGCTTAATTTTTTTGTGAAGACTAAGGCAAAGTAGCTCTTGAGTAACTCTGCCTTCTTTGCATCATCTATTAAGAGTTTCCCCTGGCTACTTAACAATGGGCTCAGTTTCCTTTGCCCTTATTTTCTGGCCAGAATATTTATAGAAGTTCTTCTTGTTATCCTTAACCTCCTTTGCCAGGTGCAGCTTGTTCTTTAGCTTTGCCTCCCTGATTTTGTTCCTGACTTAATTGTTTCATCTACTATCCCTGTCCCTCTTTTTTCCTCTTTGTCCACCCCAAATCTGCTTACCAATGTTACCAATCTCTTACCAATGGGCATGCACCCTGCCATCTGGTTTACAGGGAGAGGAAAAGTCAGAAACACTCTCTGGGTGCATACAGAAGTGCAGCTTCCAGCTCTAACTCATGGCACTTTCTATGAATTGCCATGAGTGAGACTGATCCTCCTAACTGAACAGATATTACTGTTGAATCTGGAGGGTGGAGGATTGGCTTCAATTTGGAGATGATCTAGGAAAAGAGGCTGTGTCTTCCCTGGCTCTTTCCATGCATCTCTTCCTCCTCTGGCTTGCCCCACTCTCACAGCTCTGTTGCTGTCTCTGGACAGGATGGGGGAGAAAGCTGGTCATCCTGGTGTTTTCTCAGTCCCACTGGAGTGGGGAGCCAGGTAGATTGGAGCTCCTTTGAGGTGAGGGGCTCCAATTCACCAAGTCCCTCCCACTCTAGCAGGGCTGAAGGGACCTCCCTCCCTTGCCTTCTCCCCACTGTCATCCAGAGACAATAGTTCAGGCCATGCTGCTGTTGCAGCTGAAGCAGACAGAAATTAATGAAGTTGCTCCACTTAGGAGCATCTTCATTTGAACCCTAATGCAATGAGGGTTAATTTGTTGTGCAATTGAAGGGCTCTGCAGCCATGCTCTTCTGTGTGGGCATGGATTTAGAGTGCTTTCAAGGGCCCGATCACATGACAAATATAATTTCTGTCTGTGACCTCTGTAAACTCTTCCAACCAGCTCTCTGGCAAAATGCAATGGAACTATATTGTCTCTACACCACATGGGAGTATTTGACTGCAAATCACCACATCTCTCATGGTTGTAGACAAGAATCAACCTTTTTCTTTTTATAAAATGGCCCAAAAATACAAATGCAAAGCAATTTAAAAAATAATTCAAGCCAAGGTTTCCGGATTGTTTAAAATCACAAATTTTCATTATTTACATTTTTAATGAGTTCACCTTGCTGGAGGGCATTTAATGGATCTGCCTTTGGGTTTATACAGCACATGGAACAAGAGCTTTAATAATGACTCTACAATCAGCAATTATGAATGGCTTGATAGCTAAATCTGTATACTGAATAAAACGAGAAGTAATGGAGAAAAAGTGCTACTTACAGTTATATATCCAGTGTATACACTTTTTATGAATGTAGGAACCATTTCCAAAGAAAATAAAACTCATACAATGAAGATCTGGGGTGGAAGTCTCCACAGTAGTTGAGTTACAAAATGCCAAAGCAGATTGTCGGAGCCTTGTGGCACTCAGTGTACTCACACATCTGTATGAAAGTTACTGTGCAATACAGTTAAATTAATTTCAGTGCTCCATATTCATGTTTGATCAAATTACACCCTTTAGAACTTTCTTTGCAATGATTACTCCAGTAAGTTAAATAACTTAAGGATTCGCACCACCACATAATTGGTGTGGAGCAAACTAATACCTATTGGAAAAGAATAATAAAAAAGTGATTATTTTTGTATCAGTATTTCTTTGTGCAAAGGAATTAGTTTTGCAGGCAGTTACGCTACTAGCAGAACAAATTCCAATGAATGACAGCTGATAAAATTCATATTTAATGAGCTTATGTTACCAAGATGCTGATTGTATTAAAAAAATAAGCCTAGTTTCAACTCATTTTCCAAATGCCAACGAGTCTGTGTTGGAATCACTTCCAGAAACAGAGATATCTTTGAAAAAAGTAGATAGCTACTTAACGTCAGTAGTTAACTCAGACTACTTGTATGTATTTCAGGGATGTGTATAGGCACAAAGCAGGAAAAGGAAGCTATCTTTGTCCTCATCCATCTTTAACTAAGCACTGCCTGGGAGAAATTAAACCTTTTGCTACATAAGTATCCTAAACTTAAACTAGTGAAGGAATGTATTAGATCTTAAAGAGAAGCGCTAAGTCAGTTCCCCACCAGTGCCTGGTTTTATTGCCAGATAAAATAATTGCAGTCAGATTTTACCATCTGTGGGCGAGAAGGTTTTCCCTTCATCCTGCTTGGAGTATCCCTGCTGGGAAGGCTAAGTCTCCCCAGGTGATGTGGGCACCACTCAGCAGAGCTAGGCACCCTGACTAGTTAATCAGCACCAGCTGAGCTGAGCTGGCTGCCTCTCTAGTAGGCCTACCACATTGAGTGCGACCCCACACTTACTGTACCTTGTGCAATTGGTCTTATGCCTAAAGGAGGTTGCTGATCCTGTGCGTGGCTAGCTTCTGTCCCAGACTGCTTCCTATTCATATCTGGTTCCTGCAATATCTTGGATGCCTATGATCCTTGTTTCTGGTTCTTGGCTTTTATCCTGGATGTTTTGGTACCTGACTTTAGTCTTTGGTTTCCCACTCGCCTCTGAGGCTGTTAGTGGTGACTCTACCAAATAACCCGAGCCATCTTTTTAAGTGGTTCCTTATGGCTAGGAAGGATGGCAGTAAGCTGTGTGAGCTGACAGAGCTTGGGTCAGCATGGTTTCCTGTGGAGGTTGTGCTACAAGAGGAGGAGCCTTGGGATGGCTTGTCTGAGGAAGCTGTAAACATATGAGAGCAGCAATTTCTGGGAGTTGTTGTGAGAAGGCCAGGTTAAGCCAGTCAGCACAGAAAGCGCTGCTGAAAACAATGTGGAACTAGTATCTGAGGTTGGTGCAGATGGGTGCTCTGTATTGGAGCTTGTAGTACTGGGAAGGTGCAAGCACACCTGTGTGTTCTCAAACAGATGTGGTGATACCCCCCCCCACACACCCCCCGCATCACCACGGGGTAGAGAACTTCTCTGTACCCATGGGGAGAGGCCCTGGAGAGGAGGGGGATTATGGAGTTGGCTTGGGAGAGGACTGAAACTCACCCTTTGGATTTCTGGAGAGGACTGGCTGTGGAAGGAGCAAACTGAAGTCAAATGAACTACATGCTCACAAGAGGTCAGTGTATTTGAATTGTCTTCTCTGTTTTCAAAGAAATCACCAGAAAGAAGGGCACTTCTTTCCTTACAGAGTTGTTATTCTTAAAATTGTGGAGATGAACTGAGCAAAACAGACTTGTGAATTCAGTTGCTATATAATGAAATTCCTAATATGAGCCACCCCTGCAAGTGTCTGTGAAACATGAAAATTTCTCTTTAATAGCTTAACCTTATCCAAGATAACTGTTTGCATAAATACTTAAGGGTTCTTATACCTCTTACTTGGGCTAATCTCCCATTTAAGCTGCAGTAAGGAGTATAGCTGGTCAACTTTGTCAGAGTCCATAACGATGACAAATTAGTGTTTGTCAGCTCCTTCTAGTAGTGAGGTCAGAATGTAGCCCTCCTTAATATATCAATGACTTCGGCAATGCATTTGGTGCTTGCTTTAGTAGCAGTTTATGTTAAATGACTGCAGTGCAACACACATTCTCATTAGGTTGGGGGTGTGCTTCAAGAACAGTATTAAATGGTTACTGTGAAGGATTTTGAGACTGACTCTAATATTAAATTTAACATGTTTGCAATTGTCCATTTGCCTGACTCTTCCTTGTTTGTTTGTTTGTTTTTTATTACTAAATTTGCCAAAAACCCAGATAAGACTTCCTTTGCCTAGTCAGGAATCCTGTGGCAAATTTCTTTCTTTCTTTTAATGAATGTATATTTTTCCGTTTTCATGAAAACCAAAATTAGTCTTAAAGGTCTGGTTTTAACAATTTTCCCAGTTGGGTGGGGGGAACCTGGGCTGAGGGACCTCATCCAAAAACATCTGACTCAACCAATTTTGAGGTGTTATAGAAAAGCACTGTGCAGCACTCATTCTTAGCAGATGCACAGATACCTTGATGTGTGCTGACAAATTCACTGTGTTGGTGAAGGCCAAAAAGAGACAGCCCATACATGCAAGCCATACCTGTCAAAGATAGTTCTACATTGTGGATTAAGACAGACCCACTGAGCTAATTAGCACAGGCTAACAGCTATGTGACCCTCAAGCCTGACACAAGTCTTTGCAAGCTATGTGTGCACTCCATAAGGCAAATGGTGTCCCCTGTCTAATATTACTACCTTACAGGTTAGATGAGAATAGTGTAAAAGTATAAAGAAGAAAAAAGCTGGCAATGGAAGGAAAGATTGCAGAGCTGAGGCAGGTGGGAAATGTAAAGATTAGGGCAAGGAAGAGGGACTCATCATACAGTTTTGTAAGAGTATTCCTAATAAGGGAGCATGTTCTCAGCAGAGCCAGAAAGAACACACCAATGAATACAGCTATAATGGGTAGATGGTTAAAATTTGGGATGGCTAGGAAAATGTAACGCCTTTCTAAAATGGCTATTACAAAAGCAAAACATCAGTTGAGTTAAGCTTGGGATATTGCTTTTGGTATAGGGGCTGTTTCACTGTTGGCAGGGTTCAGCTCTCTGAGTGAGTGAATGAATGGCTTGAAAAATGGATAGTACCATGTATAGTCCCAGCTGGGAACTTTTGCCTGGTTAGTAAACCCTTTGTTGTAACAGTGAAGGTCTTTTTTTATTTTTTAAACCTGCACTAGTGAGTAAAACATTAAAAGAATCCACTAACAATGCTAAATGATTAAACCTGGCTTTTGAGGTAACTGCTAGAATATTAATGAAACAGTATGTGGGATAGAAAGGTGGGCTTAAAGTTTAAATGGAGTGAACACAAGAAGTCTCTGGAGCCGGCTCAACCAGAACTGTATGTTATGATGTGATTAGTTGTTTGGATATGTCAAGTTTAAAGGAGTTTTTTAATCTTCAAAATAGTTATTGCATCACTTCTGTCCTTGCAGGGATATTATAACTCTTGTCTAAGCGTTGAGGTTTGATGTCTAAATACAACAGGTAGAAAAGTGCATGCCAATGAGGAGTCAGAATGAGAAGAGTGTTGGCTCTGGTTGATGTGGAAATCACAACAGGATCACTGTTTGGCTAACAGAAGCACTTTATTTTACATGGCCATGGGAGATCAGCAAGAGGTGGCTGATGCTCAACAGAAAAAGGACACAGGTTCTGTTATATATTTGTGAGAAAAAGACACAGATCAGCCTCCCCCCTTAATACATTCTTGGCAGTCTGACAATAACTCACCCTGGAGTCTTGCTAGACTAAACGTGTTTTCTCCAGCTGTTTCCCAATAAGCTAATCTTCAAGGTCTCTTTGTTATTTTGGCCTTTACTTATGCTCCTTATTATGGCCGAACTTTTATTTTGCTTGCTCCAGTACTTTTCCTCCTCATGGTTGTGTAATGTGAGAATCCATAACTCACCTGAATATTAAACATTGCCTAAATGGGTGTAAAGTTTATAATGAAAACTGTACCTCATAGCATGCACTGTAAATTTTGTCTTATGTGATTAGGTGCATTCATAGCTAGTTTCTTTCACATGGTTTCTGATTACTGCATTAGGAGCTGAATCAACTAATTTCTATGAAGACAGTTAGCTAAGTATGCCCAGACAGATATTTTAAAGTCCAGGTCATTAACCCAGTAAATAACCTGTGTGTATTCAGGGCTCCTCTAGACCTGGAAGAAGGGAAGAGTGGTAATAAAGTTGATGTCACTTCCATATGGGGCGATTCATAGTTCTTCAGGTATGCTGTATTATATTAATTGTGTTGCACTTCAAAGAATGCCTATAAATTGTTTTGCTGGAGCTGGTCAGGGACTTCAAATATTTCCTAGCAAAGACATTTAGCTGATTTGTTGAAACCCAAACTACTGAGTTTTGGGAAGCTTCAAAACAAATAAGTTCCATTTTTCAGGCCCAAGCTTCCTTTTAAACCCTAAAAACAACTTGATCTTTTGAATTACAATCCTGTTTTATGCAAGTCTTTAAAAGTTTTGACTCTTCATCCTGACACAGGACAGGAAAAATGGTCAAAATCTCATTCACACAACCATTTCCTGCCCATATCTGTCAGCCAGCCTGGAAAGGCTTTAAAATGCTCTGTCTGTAGCTTGGGCTGTGGTGATCAAAAATGAAAGAAGACCTTTCCCAGTCCAGAGAGTGAGCTCAGTTTGCCCTTGTTTAGGTTCATTCAGTGTCTTTGTGGTGAAGTAAGTGTTGTTGGATACATCTGATTTAAGGAAAAAATAATAGCGAAGAATTACAAATACTTGACCATGTTTTGGAAAACAGAGTTGGGGCAAGAAAATCAATGCACTTCAAATTTAGATGAAATATTTAGATATGGATATCTTTCCTGCACCATTCATAGTTGGCACATTTTGATGTAGCTAAGGCTGGTCAAAATAGGAACTTCAACAGTGCTTCAGAAATATTCTAGTCTTATTGTGGAGGTTGGGGGGAGGAGAGGAGGGCATCTCTTCTGGGACTATTTCTCTGTTAAGATGTCAAATTAAAAAAAAAAAAAAAAAAA